CCTCTGGAGGCAGACCGCCTGGGTTCAAATCCTAACCCTGCCACATGTTAGCTGTGTGACCCTACACAGTTACTTACCCTCTCCTGGGCCTTAATTCCTTCATGTGCAAAATGGGAACAACGTAAATACTCTGTCCCCTAGAATGCTATTAAATGAGGCAACACACATAGAATACTTATTACTGTGGTCTTCGGTGTTAGCTGCAGTTTTTATTGTCTAAGACAATTTTGTCTTTTTTTATTTTTCTATTTTTTTGAGTTGGAGTCCCACTCTGTCACTTGGCGATCCTTCCACCTCAGCCTTACAAGTAGCTGGAACTACAGGTGCGTGCTACCAAGCCAGGCTTTTTTTTTTTTTAATTGTAAAGAGGAGGTCTCACCAAGTTGCCCAGGCTGCTCTTGAACTCTTGAGCTCAGGTAATCCTCTCAGCTTGGCCTCCCAAAGTTCTAAGATTACAGACTTGAGCCACCACACCCGGCCCTTTTTTTTTTTTTTTTTTTTTTTTTTTTTGCTTAAAGACAGGGTTGGGCAACCCCTTGGGTCCCCTCCCACTGTGGGAGCTTTTGTGTCCTTTCAATAAATCCTGCTTTCTCAAAAATAAAGACAGGGTCTTGCTCAGTTGCCCAGGTTGGAGTGCAGTGGCATGGTCATAGTTCACTGCAGCCTCAACTTCCTGGGTTCAAGCAATCCTCCTGCCTCATCCTCCTGAGTCTCTGGAACTACAGGTGCGTACCACCATGCCTGGTTAATTTTTTAAAAATTGTTTTAGAGGCAGGGTCTCATTATGTCACCCAACTCAAACTCCTAGCTTCAAGCAGTCCTCCCATCTTGGCCTCCCAAAGTACTGGAATTACAGGAGTGAGCCACTGCAGCTGGCCTGACATTTCTTTTAAAACAAAAGATCTGAAAGCAACATAACAAAATGTTACAATTTATTCATTTCGAGTGAGAGGCAAAGGGTCTCTTCATGTATCAACCCTTGCATTTTTTTCCTTACTTTTTCAAGATTAAAAAAAAAAGACCCTTGCCTAACTACTTCTCCAACCTAAAAGAATGCTGAAGAATAGCAAAGCTATTTCGAAAAAAAAAAAAAAGATGAAAGAGAATACAGTCGTCTCTCAGTATATTTGTTCCAGGATGTTCCAGGACCCCCTTGGATACCCAAGTCCCACAGTTGACCCTGCAGAACCTGAGAATACTGCCCAGTATTTTGCATC